GAGACTCCAACTCAAAAAAAAAAAAAAGATGTGTTTGGGGCCAGATGCAGTGGCTCTCACCTGTAATCCCAGCACTTTGGGAGGTGGAAGTGAGAGAGTTGCCTGAACCCATGGGTTTGAGACCCATGACAACATGGTGACACTTTGTCTCTACAATAAATCAAAAAAAATAGCCGGGTGTGGTGGCGCACGCCTGTAGTTTCAGCTACTTGGAAGGCTGAGATGGAAGGATTATTTGAGCCCAGCAGGTCGAGGCTGCCGTGGTCCTGAGCATGCCACTACACTCCAGCCTGAGTGACAGTGAGACTCTGACTCAAAAAACAAACAAACAAAGAAACCATAAAGCATATGCTTGGGCCAGTCACAGTGACTCACACTTGTAATCCCAGCACTTAAGAAGGCTGAGGCAGGAGGATCACTTGAGGCCAGGAGTTTGAGACCAGCCTGGACAACATAGTGAGACCCAGTCTCTACAAAAAAAGAAGAAAAGCTGGGTATGATGGCACGTGCCTGTAGAGCCAGCTACTTGGAAGGCTGAGGCAGTAGGATCACCTGAGTCCAGAAGGTCAAGGCTGTGGCAAGCCATGATCATGCCATTGCCCTCCAACCTGAGTGACAGAATAAGACCCCAACTCAAAACAAAAAAAAAAGGAAAAGAAAAAATAATCCTGGTGTGGTGGTGCACATTTGTAGTCCTAGCTATTTAGTAGGCTAAAGTGGGAGAATCACTTGGGCCCAGGAGGTTATGGCTGCAGTGAGCCATCATTGCACCACTGAACTCCAGCCTGGCTGATAGAGCAAGACCCTGACTCTAAAAAAAGTAAATAAGGCCGGGTGGGGTGGCTCAAGCCTATAAGTCCAACACTTTGGAGGTCAAGGTGAGAAGATTGCCTGAGCCCATGGATTCGAGACCAGCCTGGGCAACTTGGCGAGACCTCATCGCTACAATAAATAAATTTTAAAAATTAGCCGGGCATGGTTGCACGTGTCTGTAGTTCCAATCACTTGGAAGACTGAGGTGGAAAGATCACCTGAGCCCAGCAGCTCAAGGCTGTGGTGGCCAGGAGTGTGCCACTGGCCTCTAGCTTGGGTGACAGAGTGAGACTCCAACTCAAAAATAAAAATAAAAAAGAGTAAATAAAACGTGTGTCTGTAAATTTCTCTGCAAGGGCTATATCTATTTGTGTGCTGTTTGAAATAGTAGTTACACTGTAGGAAGGAACAGCACTTCCCTGAAGTTATTTTATTTTTATTTTAAAGACGTGGGGTTCAATTCAGGGTTGGGCATACAAATGTTCATTATGCAGGTACTTTGTTGATGAGGTACCCTGAAGTATTTTTAAATCGGCGTATTTTTTTTTCTTACTTGTAGTGAACTCATCTTGTCCCCATGAACTTTTCAACATAGCTCACTCATTACTTGTGGGGTCATTTGCAGATTTTCACCTTTTTGTATTTAAGATAACTGTAAGGTGTTGTGAAGCTAGTATGTTTGTTTTGTCTTTGTTCTAGATGATCCCTCTGATAAGCCACCTTGCAGAGGCTGCTCCTCCTACCTCATGGAGCCTTATATCAAGTGTGCTGAATGTGGGCCACCTCCTTTTTTCCTCTGCTTGCAGGTAACTCACTAATGCTTGCCTCTCCTAGCCTAGTTTTATGATATAATAATTCAGAGATTACTGTCTATTGCTCAGGAAAACCATAGCTTATTAAATCTATTTCTCCTAATCAGTCTTCCATTACACATTTTGCCAGTGAAAAATTGGGGAATAGAGCACATGGATGAGACATACTGTTGATTATTCCACATCTGTGTATCAACCTAATGCTTAACACTGTTTTTGTAAGTAAATTTAAAGCATTGGGATTACAGGAAACAGACTTTGAGGATTATTCCTTTTGATGACACATTATAGTCTTGTCAAAGAGGGATCTCTGTAAAGGTGACATGGGGACAAACCATTTTGTAAGCGATTACGGTAGTAATAATACTAGGTGCTTCCTCTGCTAGGTACTGTTTTGAGTACTCTATACATCGCTAACTCTCTTTTTTTTTTTTGATTCAGAGTCTCACTCTAGCCCAGGCTGGGTTGCAGTGGCACGCTCATGACCTCGACCACCACATCCTTGACCTGCTGGGCTCTGGTGATCTTTCTGCCTCAGCCTTCCAAGTAGCTGGAACTACAGGCAGGTGCCATTACACCTGGCCAATTTTTCTTGATTTGTTGTAGAGATGAGGTCTCCCCAAATTGCCCAGGCTTGTCTCGAACTTGTGGGCTCAAGCAATCCTCTCACCTCAGCCTCCCAAAGTGCTGGGATTATAGGCGTCTCGCCCGGCCCATAAATTAACTCTTAAATCATCATCGCAATCGTGTGAAGTATAAGGAGTATGTTCTTTTTTTGTCTTTTTGTTTTGTTTTGTTTTTTTGAGTCAGAGTCTCACTCTGTTACCCAGGCTGGAGTACAGTGGCATGCTCACAACTACCTCAGCCTCGACCTGTTGGGCTCAGGTGATCTTCTGCTTCCGCCTTCCAAGTAGCTGGAACTACAGGCATGCGCCACCACACCTGGCTAATTTTTTTTTTTAAGTTGGAGTCCCACTCTGTCGCTCAGGGTAGAGTGCAGTGGCATGCTCACAGCCACCACAGCCTCAACCTGCTGGGCTCAGGTGATCTTTCCACCTCAGCCTTCCAAGGAGCTGGAACCACAGGCATGCGCCACCAACTCTGGCTAATTTTTTTATTTTGTGTAGCAGTGAGGTCTTGCCAAGTTGCCTGGGCTGGTCTTGAACTCCTGGACTCAGGCAGTCCTTTCTCCTCAGCCTTCCAAAGTGCTGGGATTACCGGCGTGAGCCATTGCACCTGACTCGGCTAATTTTTATGATTTATTGTAGAGATGAGGGCTCGGCAAGTTGCACGAGCTGGTCTCGAACCCAGGGGCTCAGGCAATCCTCTTGCCTTAGCCTTCCAGAGTGCTGGAGTATGTTCATTTTATAGATGAAGAAACTCAGGCTAAGAAAGGTTAAATAATTTGCTCAAGGTCGTATAGCAAATACTATATTTTAGCAGGTCCAAGACACTTGATGATAAGAAACATCTCAATTTTTGAATTATTAAAATGTAAAAGTGGATAATGAAAGTTGTGATAGACTGTCGATTATAAGATGAATCCTGATTTCAGAGTTTTAAAATATGAAAAAAGGCCAGGCTTGGGGCTCATGATCCCGTGCTTTGGGAGGCCGAGGTGAGTGAATTGCCTGAGCCCGTGGGTTCGAGACCCACCTGGGCAACTTGACGAGACCTCATCTCTACAATAAATCCAAAAAATTAGCCGGGCGTGGTAGCGCGCACCTGTAATTCCAGCTACTTGGAAGGCTGAGGCGGAAGGATCGCCGGAGCCCAGCAGGTCAAGGCTGTAGTGGCTGGGAGCAGCCAGTGCACTCCAGTCTGGGCAACTGAGTAAGACTCCAACTCAAAAAATAAATAAATAAATTAGTTAATTAATTAAATATGAAAAAAATATTTCTCTTAGAATTACTGAAATATGGACAGGTGTGGTGACTCAAGCCTGTAATCCAGCACTTTAGGAGACCAAGGTGAGAGAATTGTCTGAGCCCAGGGGTTCGAGGCCAGCCTGGGCAACTTGGCAAGACCTCATCTTTACAGTAAATCAGAAAATTAGCTGGGTATGGTGGCTTATGCCTGTTGTTCCAGCTACTTGGAAGGCTGAGGTGAAAGGACTGCCTGAGCCCAGCAGGTCAAGGCTGCGGTGGCCGTCAGTGTGCCACTGCACTCCAGCCTGGGTGACAGAGTGAGACTCCAACTCAAAACAAAAAACAAACAAGACTGGGCGTGGTGGCTCAAGCCTGTAATCCCAGCACTTTGGAAGGCCAAGGTGAAGGGGTTGCCTAAGTCCACGGTTCTAGAACAGCCTGGGCAACTTGACGAGATCTCATCTCTACAGTAGATCAAAAAATTAGCCAGGCACAGTAGCGTGCGCCTGTAGTTCTGGCTACTTGGATGGCTGAGGCGGAAGGCTCATCTGTCTGGGCAACGGAGTGAGACTCCAATTCAGAAAAACAAACAAAAAAAAGAATTGCTGAAATATGGTAAGTATGGAAGCAGTGTTCAAAGTTAGGTAGTCTGATTCCAGAGCTCATACTCTTATCAAAGAAGGAGTTGTCTTAGAAAAAGTCTTTTTTTCAGATTTGTTTTTTCTCTGTTAGGGTCACTGAAGAGTTGTGATCCTAAATATATTATCAAGATTAATTGAATTATTCTTAAAAACTTGTCACAAGAGTAGAGTACTCCCAAAGTATCTTCTATGTTCTTTAAGAAAGCATTTTGAGGCCAGATGTGGTGGCTCACTCCTATGATTCCACCACTTTGGGAGGCTGAGGTGGGAGAATTGCTTGAGCCCAGGAACTTGATACCAGCCTGGGCAACATACAGAGACATCATCTCTACAAAAAATTTAAAAGCTAGCCGGGCATGACAATGCTGGCCTGTAGTCCCAGCTACTTGGGAGGCTGAGGTAGAAAGAAGGCCTGAGCCCAGGAGGTCAAGGCGAGATGAGCTGCGATCATGCCATTATACTCCAGCCTGGGTGACACAGAGAGACCCCTGACTCAAAAAATTAAAATTAAAAAGAAAGCATTTTGCCGGGCGCAGAGGCTCATCTTGCCTGTAATTCCAGCACTTTGGAAGGCAGGGGCAGGAGGATTACCTGAGCTCAGGGGTTTGAGACCAGTCTGGGCAACATAGCGAGACTTGTCTCTACCATAAATCAAAAAAATCAGCTGGACATGGTGGCGTATGCCTATGGTTCCAGCTACTTGGAAGACTGAGGCGGAAAAATGACCTGAGGCCAGCAGGTCAAGGCTGTGATGGCCATGAGCGTGCCACTGCACTCCATCCAGCCTGGGTGACAGAGTGAGACTGCAACTCAAAAAAAAAAAAAAAAGGCATTTTGAAAAGTAGCTTTTTATAACTTAATTATTCTTTCTTTCCAGTGTTTCACCCGAGGATTTGAGTACAAGAAACATCAAAGTGATCATACTTACGAAATAATGGTAATGATGAAGTTGCTGTGAATTTGTGTTCATTTTTCAAATATTAGACTGGCAATTTGTTTTCTTTTATCTCTAAGTATCATTCCCTTTTCTTTTGAATTTGGTTATCATTGGTATCCAGTAAGTTTTTTAGGTCTACTGAAAAGTCTTTTGGGTCTACTAATGTATTTAAATACTAAAGTAATTTTATATACTCAGATTTTTGTTTCAAATTTAGAAAGTATTTAACAGAAGTACTTTATGAGATTCTGATATGAGGATAAGAGGTATGCAACTTTTTCGGTTCATTGATAAATATATAGCCACCATATTGTCACTGTGTGCTAATGGTATTTTTATGTGGTTTATGAAGGCAGTGGCGAAGTTTATGTCTGACACACCATTCCTCTGCTTTCAGGAAATTACCCTCTTAGTTAAGTTACAAAATGAACACAGCAAATGAGTTAATACGTAAAGGTTACTGAAGAGGTAAACTGGTTTATAAGCCAGAATAAAACTTGGCTATAATTTGATTGATTGTATTGCCACCTCTGAAGAAGGAATGAAAGTGTTGATAGTGTCCTTCCAAGCCCTGGCCAGGGGAGTGGGTGATTGAATAAGCCAAAGTAAATATCCAATCTGCTTGACAGGTATGTGTACCTCTATTAAGATAGTTTTGTTAGCACAGCATATTAAGCATATAACTAAATATAGTTCACTAAGCAGTTTTCTGACATTTGGCCTTCTTGGTTTTTCTTACAGGAAAGAATGCAGTTAAAATTTTCACATTTTATATTGATCTATATTTTTTTCTACTGCTGCTGTAGCAAATTATCAAAAATTAAGTAGCTTAAGACAACACAAATGTAGCCGGGCTCAGTGGCTCAGCCTGTAATCCTGCACCTTTGGGAGGCTGAGGTGAGTGGATTGCTTGAGCCCGTGGGTTCAAGACCCGCCTGGGCAGCAAGACCTCATCTCTACAATAAATCAAAAAATCAGCCAGGCGTGGTAGCGCATGCCTGTAATTCTGGCTACTTGGAAGGCTGAGGCGGAAGGATCGCGGAGCCTAGCAGGTCGAGGCTGCGGTGGCTGGGAGCAGCCACTGCATTCCAGTCTGGGCGACAGAGTGAGACTCCAACTCAAAAAAAAAAAAAAAAGCTGGGCTCGGTGGCTCAGCCTGTAATCCCGCGCCTTTGGGAGGCTGAGGTGAGTGGATTGCCTGAACCCGCGGGTTCGAGACCCGCCTGGGCAGCAAGACCTCATCTCTACAATAAATCAAAAAATCAGCCGGGTGTGGTAGCGCATGCCTGTAATTCCGGCTACTTGGAAGGCTAAGGCGGAAGGATCTCCGGAGCCCAGCAGGTCGAGGCTGCGGTGGCCGGGAGCAGCCACTGCACTCCAGTCTGGGCGACAGAGTGGGACTCCAACTCAAAAAAAAAGACAACACAAATTTGTGATCTCACAGTTCTGTAAGTTAGAAGTCCGTTAAGCCCAGCTAGTTTGCTCCATGTCCCATAAGGCTGAAATCAAGCTGAAGTAGCCTACGCTCTTATCTGGAGACCTTATGGGAGAATCCCCTTCCAGGCTTATTCAGGTTATTGGCAGATTTCACTGCCTTGAGGTTGTAGGAAAAACAGCACTGGCTACTGGTCAGGGTTTGTTCTAGAGGCTACCTGCTTTCCCTGACTCCTGGCCCCCTTTCTCCATCCTCAGAGCCAGCAACACAGGAGGTCCTTTAGGGTTGTTAATGAAATGCTTGCATTTTCACTGACCTTTCCTTCTGCCTTCTCTCTCCTTTGCTGAGTCTCTCTGAATGACTCTTCTACCTTCCTCTTCTACTTTTAAGGGCTTCTGTGATTACACTGGGCCCACCAGGATAATCTCCCTACCAGCTAATTAGTAACCTTAATTCCATCTGCAAAATCTCTTCACAGCAGTACGTAGTTAGTGTATGAATAATTATGGGGCAGGAATCTTAGGAGAAGGGGAACATCTTTAGAATTCAGCCTACCACAGCACTGTAGTGTGTTTTCTTCGATCTCTCTCTCTTTTTTTTTTTTTTTTTTTGTTGAGTTGGAGTCTCTCTCTGTTGCCCAGGCTGGAGTACAGTGGCACACTCATGGCCACCCCAGTGTCAAGGCTGGGCTCAGGTGATCCATCCTTCCGCCTCAGCCTTCCAAGTAGCTGGAATCACAGGTGTACACTACTACATCCGGCTAATTTTTTTTTTTTATTGCGGAGACAAAGTCTCACCATGTTGTCGAGGCTGGTCTTGAACCTGAGGGCTCAGGCAGTCCTCTCACCTTTGACTCCCAAAGTTCTGGGACTACAGGCTTGACCCACTGCATCCAGTCTCTTAAGAGTTTAGTAAGGGTAAATCAGCAATTTTTTTTTTTGAGTCGAGAATCTCACTCTGTTGCCCAGGCTGGAGTGCAGTGGCATACTCATGGCCACCACAGCCTCGACCTGCTGGGCTCAGATGATCTTTCCAAGTAGTTGGAACAACAAATACCTGCCACCATGCCCGGCTAATTTTTTTTATGTAATTTATGTTGCCCAGGCTGGTCTCTAACCTGTTGTAGTCTTACCTTGTCACCTAGACTGGAGTGCAATGGCACGCTCATGGCCACCGCAGCCTCTCAGGCAATCCTTCCACCTCAACCTTCCAAGTAGCTGGAACTACTACAGGTGTGCGCCACCACACCCAGCTAATTTTTTGATTTATTGTAGAGATGAGGTCTCGCCATGTTGCCCAGGCTAATCTCAAACCTGCAGGCTCAGGCAATTTTTTTGCTTCTGCCTTCCAGAGTGCTGGGATCACAGGCGTAAGTCACCACACCCAGCAAATCAATCAGCATTTTTTTTTTTTTTTTTTG